GGGGGGGGGGGGGTCCTTCTTGGCTGCTGCTGAAATACCCAAAAGACCATCTCTACAAGAAGAAGGAGAATCCTACACAGAGAATTCCAAATTTCTGGCTAAGTGCTTGTTAGGAAGCTTCAGTGATTCCTTTCACTCCAACCCTAATCCTGAAGTCATACAACAGTGGTTCACCAAAAGGTGGCAGGTGACAGTGGGCCTGAGAATCACCCCTTTAGCTCATAACCAATTTCTGTTCGAACTTCCCTCCAGGCAAGAGGCGGCTAGAGTAAAGGCCGGTGAATGGTTTTGGAATGGGAGACGCCCGTCTCTTGAGTGGTGGTCTCCAGAAGCGGGTTCTACGCCGGCGAGCGAGCAAGCTAGTCAAAAATGGTTAAAAGCATTTGGGGTCCCTTTGCATGGATGGACAATGAACAATTTCCGCTATATTGGTGACCAGTGTGGTGGCTTCGTCGGAATTGATGAAGATACGAAGCACAGATCTAATCTTCTTTGGGCTCGTATTTGCGTCCGAGGGGAGGAAGTTGACCACCCAAAAGAGCTGATTCTGGTGGTTGATAACATGAAATACAAAATCTCAATTATAGAGGATCAATTAATCAAGCTTGTTACAGAAGAAGAAAGGTCTAATGGGGTGAAAGAAAGGCAGAAAGGATCGAAGGTGGAGATGGGGAGGAAGCCGGTGGAAGACCGGAAGAAGGAGCCGCTGGTGGTGGAGTCTTCGAGCTTCTCCAAATTGGCAGTGGAGGAACCGGTGGATAAAAGAATTGGGCACAGACAACAAGGTTACTTTAATTCAAACTCATTTAATGAGTCACATGCCAAAGTGGGGAATCTGCCACGTAGGATTCCACTAACCCAACGCAATAAAAAGGGTTATGAGGGGAGTAGGAAGTGGGGTTGGAATTTGGACCACTCTTACTACTCAAAAGGCCCAAAGACAAAAATCACAAATTCCCATAGACCCAATAGGAAAATCTAGAAGCATGTTGGGTCTCTTCTTGACCCTTGCTCAAGTCGTAATAGCCCACTACCATACACAAACAGATTTGACCCCTCTATGCTGAAATTGAAGCGGCAGAAGAAGTCCAACGTTCAGAGCCCAGGCCAGAACCCTTTGCATGTGATCCCACTCTGAAGCTGACGATGAAGCAGAGCCTATGAATCAGATAATACCAAGATCCCCCTCGATTAACCCTTTTGGAGTGGTAAGTAGCTCTGAAGCAGACCTCTCTTCTTCTGAGACACTGCCTCTCCCTTGGTATGGTATGGACCAACCAAATTCTCGAGAATTGGGAACTCCATCAATAATTGAAACTTCAAGATGGACCAAATCAATGTTGTTAAAAGCATGCAAGGTCTTTGGGGTTAATGTGGCAGGATTCGAACATGAAATTTTCGATATGATTCTTAGAATGGAGCACAAAAGACGAGCAAATCCAGAAGCAAAAATCATCAATCAAGACCATATCAAAAGGAAAGAGAAAGCAGTCTCTAGAGTTGGAAAGACTACGATGGGGCACAAATTACGAAGGTAGGAAGGCTGGGGAAAGGGACAGGCAATACAAAGCCTCTCTGGATGAAAATCAAAATATTAAGCTGGAATGTTAGGGGCCTTAACGAGGCAGAAAAGAGGAGCACAATTAAGTCACTGATTCATAAATGGAGAGCGGATATAGTGTGTCTTCAGGAAACAAAAATTGAAGAATGGTCTATACAATGGATTAGACAAGTTTGGGGTAATAGATGGGTCGACTGGGCAGTATTAAAATCAACGTGCAGAAGTGGGGGCATCATTGTTTTGTGGGATAAAAGGGTATGGCTGAACAGAGAGATACACCAAGGCCATCATACAATTACATGTATGTTTGACAGTGCATTGGAGGACTTCAGATGGTGCTTCACAGGGGTCTATGGGCCTCACAACAACTCAGATAGGGAGATCTTTTGGCAAGAACTAGCAGCCATTGGAGGAATATGGAATTAGCAATGGGTCATAGGGGGTGATTTCAACGTCTGTAGATACGAGAGTGAAAGATATAATTGCATAAGAAGATCTAGGGCCATGAAATCCTTCTCTGATATCATCCAAGAATTGGGAATCATAGACCTGCCACTTCAGGGGGCCCACTATACTTGGTTGAGAGATGAAGACTCACTCCAGGCATCCAGAATAGACAGGTTGCTCATCTCCCCAGAATGGAATGACAGCTTCAATGCAATCAAGCAAGTAGCCCTTCCTAGAGTTGTCTCTGATCACAGACCTTTGCGTTTGGAATGTGAAGATTGGGCAGCCAACCCATCATATTTTAAGTTTGATAATATGTGGCTCCAGGCTGATGGTTTCTTAGACAAAGTCAAGGATTGGTGGCTTGGATACCCAGTCGATGGCAGCCCAAACTTCATCCTTTTGCAGAAGCTTAAATGTCTAAAAAAGGACATAACAAGCTGGAATAAGGAATCTTTTGGCCAGTTGGAAGCAGGGAAGACTAAGACTCTAGAAGACCTAGCTCTTCTAGAATCAGCAACTGAAGGAAGATTGATGACTCAAGAAAAAGAGAAGTCAATGCACATGAAAATGGAATTGCAACAGATGGCAAAGGCTGAAGAGATTTCTTGGAGGCAAAAGTTCAGATGCCTATGGCTCAAAGAAGGAGACAGGAACACCAAATTCTTCCAGAGAATGGCAAACTCTCATAGAAGAACTAACTGTATAGACAAGCTGATGATAGGGGAAGACATCTGTGAAGATAGTGAGGAAATTAAGGCTGAAATTTTGAATTTCTATCAAGATCTCTACACTGAAAATGCACCATGGAGACCCAGTGCTAAGTTTGAAAACTTAGCTACACTCACTGCAGAGGAGAAGACATGGCTGGAAAGATCATTTGAAGAAGATGAAGTGAAGGCAGCAATTAAATCCTGTGCCCCTAACAAAAGCCCAGGTCCTGATGGTTTCACAATGGCTTTTTTCCAACATTCATGGGAGATTATCAAAGTAGACTTAATGGGGGCTCTTAATCACTTCCATCATCAATGCTACATGGTAAGGTCATGTAATGCATCCTTCATCACTCTAATTCCCAAAAAGAAAGGTGCAATAGAACTCAGAGACTTCAGACCCATAAGTCTCATTGGGAGTGTGTATAAGATAATAGCCAAACTCTTAGCAGAAAGATTGAAGACAGTGATAGGGAAGCTGGTTTCTGAGGAGCAAAATGCATTCTTGAAAAACAGGCAAATCACTGATGCTTCCTTGTAGCAAATGAATTACTGGATGAAAGATTAAAGAGAGGGACCCAGGAATCCTTTGCAAGCTAGATGTAGAGAAAGCTTTTGATAAGGTCAACTGGTCTTACCTACTGAACCTACTGAAAAAAATGGGGTTTGGAGATAGATGGATCAAATTTAGCCTTACCACTGTTAAATACTCTATCCTAATAAACAGGTCACCAGTAGATTTCTTTTCCCCTCAGAAGGGAATAAGGCAAGGAGACCCCTTGTCTCCCTTCCTATTCATCTTAGCTATGCTAGGACCCAGCAGAATGTTTGACAAGGCTAAGCAGGAGCTGTGGATTGAAGGGTTCAAGGTGGGCAGTAACTCAGACCTATCAGTTTCAGTCTCTCATTTGTTGTATGCAGATGACACTCTAATTTTCTGTGGGGCTGACAAGCTTCAAGTCCAGTATCTCAACTTGACACTACTAATTTTTGAAGCTATCTCAGGGTTGCACATCAACATGGCAAAAAGTGTGATATACTCGGTGAATAAAGTGACTAATTTAGAGGAACTGGCTGGGATTATGGGTTGTAGCATTGGGTCTTTCCCAACATCTTACCTAGGGCTCCCCTTAGGAGCAAAGCATAAAACAACTAAAGTCTGGAATGGAGTCATTGAAAAGGTAGAAAAAAGACTGGCTTCTTGGAAAATGCAGTATTTATCAATGGGGGGCAGATTAATG